TTATTGTGATATGAACTAGAACTAGACTGATAACTAGAACTAGGCGCTTCATAATTTTTTAATATCAGTTTCCAGCGCGAGGCATTAAGTTCTACAAATCGTGCTTCTTGCATCGTCCCTTCCTCTATTTCTCTCCCCCCCCCCCCCCCCAACCTCCTTTTCAATCTCATTTTCACGCCTGATTGATCATTCGTTCTGCGAGGAATGAACGGCCAGTTGTGGTTGAAGGAGTGAGACAGCTCCCACAGAAAAGGAAGGAACCTCGCTCACTCATGCAGAAATCTCCTTTGGTGAAATCTCCCTTTTCCGGGGAATTCGTTGAAAACTTTGGTGACCTTCACAACTGCCTACATTGCAGTCATAGTGAAGACGCCCTCAAGGCACAACAATAACCGGACAAAACCGAATTAATAAATGGATTTTCAACCGAAGGGACTGAAAAATCCATCATAGGACTAAAACCCTTTTGTCTCTCGAGTCTTGAAGTCCATAATGAAGCAGGATGTAAGATACTGGAGAAGGGGGAAAATGAAGTGGGGTTGGGAAGATGGTTGCTTGCATAAGACTCAGGTACTTTCACGAGAGCATCCCTTCTCGATCCCATTGTTTTTCGAAAGGAAAGTGGAAACTGTCTTCACCGTCTGTTATACAAGCTAATACTCATGCGGGGGGAAGGGAAGGAAAATCCCACAATCATGGTGGCGGAAGTGGAGAAATGGGCCAGACTGACCAACCCTTTGGGCGAAGTAGGATTGTTTGGTTTGCAGCCATCCTACGGAGCACATTCCTCCCCACTGAACTGCATACTTCATCCTTTTTTGGCCTCGTTCCCCTTTTTCGTTGGATCATTCGTTTGGCAGGGGCTCTCTGCGACCGCATAGAAAATGTGGTATTGCACGAGCATTGATCCAAAGGGGGACGAGTATTTTGTTCATTAGAGGATCGTGCCGATGTTGCGAATGCTTTTCGTAAGAGCGTTGAAAGGGGATTCGAAAATGAGATCCACGATATCGGAGTCACGACAGAGACACACGACGTGATCACCAAGAGTCTTTCGCAAGATTCACAGACTTTCCTTCATTCTTCATCCCCTTAAGTCTTGAACTCACTCGACCCACGAGGGCAATCCTCTTTCATTCCAATTAATATATTAAATTAATCCATGATGAATAGGGCGTGTAATGAGTGACGCACGAATTCTAACCCGATTAAGAGAAATGAGGGGCTCGCTCCTTCATTTCCCCATTCATCATGATGCCAAAAGTGTGTCTTTTACTTTGTCTTTTTCTCTCTGCTCTTTGAGGATGTCCGAATTCGTAGCACCTGTTGTGCAGTATGCGGGTGCGTCAGCTGGCTAAGGGGAGGAAGGAAGGAAGGAAGACCACCCATTGGCCGTTTTGAGAAAGAACTTTTTCCTCCTCTCCTTTTGTTCTTCTCTTTACCACCACAGGGGTGAAATTATTGCTCAAGAAGGCATCATGCAGTATCGTACACGGACTTAGGCATCTAGAATCACTGTAACGGGAGAGGAAGCTGTGGTGCGTGCAGAAAATGTGCATAAAAAAAGGAGGACAGCTGCGCGGGGTAACGGTCCAGGCCATGGTCCTCTTCCGTCTTTGAAAGGACTTTTTTTCACACTTACAAGCCGGGGGGTCAGGGTCAATTTCATCAGGTATCTCTTTCTCTCCCGGAAGTTTTTATTTTTTTCAACAGAATTGAGCTGGCAAGGCTCATGGAAGTAATCACTTTTTTTTAACATAGAGAGATGGAGAGATATTGAGGCTCCGAGGCCTTTCTCTCACGAAGCTTTCACTTTATATTCGCCGAGGAGCGATCACGATGATAATCACGGTTTCATCATCGTTGAACCATGCTGCGAAAGAAGAGAGGAATCTTCCTGTCAAGGGCATTTTGTCAACTTGGGGGGGCCTTTGATCTTTCCCCTCGGGTCACCACTGCGGAACCTTTTCTTCTTTTTTTTTTTTGCCTGTCCCGAAGAAAAAGCGTGTTATTCGTTCATATGCGTGCTTATCAGAGAGGATATTAAGAATCCCCCCTGAAGGGGTACTTGTGGAATGATGGTCCTTTTACTTCAAGTTTTCCAGTAACCGGGTTATGAGCTCGAGAAGGAATCTCGCGTTTCCAATGAAAGAAAGCCCGCCGGTATGGCATCGTAAGGAAGCAAATCGTGACACCCTCTGGAAAGCCCATTCCCCTTTTTAAACGCCATGTTACGGTTGCTGAGATGTTTTCGTGGCTCATATTCCCATAGTTGAAGTGTTACGTGGCGATGAGACATGGGCAAAAGGCGTAAAATTGGAAACGGAGCCGAAAACGGATTGGGGCATTCTCGCCTGAAGATAAGTGAGTGAAGTGGAAGCAGGTCTCGGTTCCACTCTGCAAGTCATTCATAGACTACCACTGCAGTGAAAGCCAGTGAACCCGGAAAGAACCCGCCCTGTTCCTCGCTTCCAAGGAAGACTGGACTTAGCAAGAAGCTCATTATCCTATTTAAGCCAGCTAGTCCATAATCTAAATGCAGTAGTACCGTTAAGTGCCTCTCTTCTCCCTTTTCGGCGGAGTCCTATAGTTTTCTTAAGCTTAATCTGTAATTCGCGATAAGACGAAGGTAGGGAGTGAGAGAATAGTGGAGAATAATGCTGTGGAGTGCGCAAGCTACCAACGTATCCTGCTGTCGAGGTTCGGGCTATAGGAAATCGCTCTTAACGGTTGTGATAATTCATCCTATTTCTCTTCCCCCTTTCCTTTCTACTCTCCACTCGCATAGTGGCGGTGTCTCTTGGGTTGAGTGTGACCAAGTGGGCGTGACATGGCATGCGTGAGGGTTACTTCTAAAGCCCATGGCTATTTCGCCTAATGGCACGCGGAAAATCCGATTCGTTTCATACGGGAGACAAATACGACAGTTTCCTCTGACATTCTTGAGGAATGAGGTCGAGTTTTCAGGAGGAAGGTAACGGAAGGCAGTAATCCTTGAACGGGGGATGGCCATGTCAGACCTTGATGAAATTGACATTGAACAGCGCGGAGCATACTCGTTTGGTAGTTTCGTGATCGTGGAAGACCTGCATCTTCCATCATCGTCTTTCTCTCGCCTTAGAGACATCGATTACGTCATGAAAGACTCACGACTCTCGGTTTTTCTCTCGCTCTTCTTCAGCTCTGCTACATACGTTACCGTAAAGGACCTTCGACCGTGGCGTCACGAAAGAAATCCGTTGAATGTGTTTCGTGCATGCCCTTCGTGTCATGCACACTTTAGACCTCATTCATCGCAGCCGTGCGTACGACCCATCCTTCTTGAGTTCAGGGCTTTCATGCGATGTTCTCGAGAAGCCAATTGAGGGCAGCTCTTCGGAAATGATTGCATTTCCCATTCTTTCAAAGTTTTCTGGAAATGTTTTTTTTTTTTACGGGGTTTCCCTAAGCATTGAACTGACCACCCGCTGGTTCACATACCAGTAGAACTTGGTCCTCGAGAATGCTTGGTAGTATCCCACTTGATTAACCGTCTGACGCTTGAAACATCGTCTAGTTTGGAGTGAAAGAGTCGGGGGGAGATAGTGATTTAAGAGTAAGTGCAAAGAGAAAGAGCGCGTCAAATGAAGATGATGAAGAGGATGAATGCGTGTTGAACGTGGGTGGCCAGCATTTCATCAACTCCTATGCACACAGGAATATTGGGCCTACACAGTACACCTCTCCCTTCCTTTTCCTTGCCAACCGCCTAACGGTATCGCGTAAAAAGAGACAGACCCATGCTAGTAAACCTATGCACACCCCTGAAGGTAAGGAAGTTTCTTGTTTCGTCATCTTGAATGTACGTGCCGTTTAATGTAGCTAGTGACGATCGGATACGAATTGAGATTCGATTGGAACTCCATTTTAGAGATTTGGAATTCTCGGGCCTGATTTGAGTCGCAGTTGGGTTTGAGACAATTCTATTCGGATTCAACTCGACTCAAGTGGAAAAGATGCCAAATGTCTTTTTTTGGGTCTCTTTTATTGTGACAAAGCCGCTCTTGAGCTGTGACGATGTTGTTTATCTGTAACCTCATTCAGTTATGCCTGACTACCATCGATTGGCCCGATTCCAAGTGCTGCCTTTCATAGCGACTGTTGTGCGAGGACATAGAAATTAATTTCTATATCAAATAATTTTCTGCTCCAGCTGGAATTTGATTCAGGATTCTGGGATCTCGCGCTAGTACTCAATAGCGAGGTTCGAAGAACCTTAAAAGATTCGGATTCGGACTGTAGATTCGAATCAGAATTTGCTTATCACCGGGTTCAGCTCTCACGATTTGCCAAAACGGTCAGGCAATCGTGAACCTGAAGCTGTTGCAAGAGATAAGAAGTTGGCTAAGATTCAGTTCTGCAACTTTCTATTAATGAGTTTTTGATGCTTCGCAATCAATGCAGTAATCCGGGGGAAAAAGAGTTGTCTAGTCAGCATACTAAACTACCCTTCTCAAGGGAAGTACTTGGAGGACAACATATGATGAGTAAGTTCTTACTATATTTTTTAAATTACTAATCTATTTTTGAAGACGGTAGAGGCAGTCTTATTGCTTGTAATTACTTTGCTTATGATGGGTCTTCTGGAGGCTTGTGGCCTAGGGCAGTTATTGCATGCAATTATTCGCAAATAATTTTTAAAATCATGCTGTGAAGGGCATGCGTGTCAAAGGGCTGTGTGTAGATGCATCGTGAAATTCTACAGAGTTTTAAATATGTTTCTTCTCTTGTATCTCTTTGACTAGGTTCATGGCGTAGAAGCGACGTGAGAGGAGTAAGGTCATGAAGAGACCACCTTACATCATTCTAGTCCTCTGTAGCCTAGCTACAGCTACTGTCGTCTATGCTACAACCGCTACGAATCCGTCTGGTGAGTGAGAGCTCTTATTTCGATGAAGAAGGCCAAGGCTGTAGAAAGGTCGGAAAACACAGAAGATCAAAGGCTGAATGCGAGTGAATGAATGATGAAGATCGGAGCGCGAGGGGCACGGGCGTGGGTGGAGGCATATGTCTTGCATGGGCGTGATATCCCCATCCTGGATGACACCCTTCGCGTTGTGACGGGGAAAGGTCTGTCTCATTAACCGTGTAGAGACTCGTTCGCGTTGCACAACTCCCCTCCCAACATCCATCTTTATCTTACCCATCCCCTCATCTCATCTCATCTCCTTTGCATGCCAAGCTCCTCCACGGACTCGGTCTTTGCGAAAGGATCTTCCGCACCTGCTCCGGCTCCGGGCGCACACTATCCTTCGTAACGGTACCATTCATTGTCTTCTCACGCGTTCCAGATGTAGAATGGGTTTCGGAAACTCATTCTGCCTTTGCACATTCGACCGGATGCGTCAACACACGTAGGCCGCTCGTATATCCGCTTCTCTTCCCATACATGTCATGGTTTTCTCATTCACAAGTATATTTATGGGACCCCAGGTGGAAATAACCCTGGGAAATTTCTTGCATCCCTAGCACATTAAAGAAGTAAAATAAATGGAGGGATTTCCAATCGAGTCTGTGTTGGACGGTAGGTTGCACAATGACGCGGTGGTCCATTAATTAGTCATAGTAATTAGCCTGGAGGGATGGTCAGCTTCCGTTTATCCCGTGATTGATGTCTGTCGAAATGAAATGGAATGGCTTTTTTTTTACTCGCCCTTCCCCATGGGCTTCTGATTCTTGTCTGAGACAGCTTCCCAAGGTTGCCCTGCTTCTGGACCTTCAGTATCTATTATTATTGCTTTTTTTTTCCATCGACCATAACTTGGGGAGAAAGAGGATGAGAGAGTGACAACCAGAGAAAGGGTCGGTAAAGCTATGGAATGTCCCATGGGATATTTCTTTTTGACAGCCCAAGCGTAAATGCGAGAAAGGGAGAAAGTCGACGACAAATGCCATCGAAACGGCCCTGTCATCGAATGCTCATTCTCTATCCATGTATAGAAGCCTTGTTATCAGGCATTCCATACAACGAATTTTGAGGGAATGCGTGCCGCTGTAAATATCTCTCGTCTCTACTGCCGCGCACGTATGTGGCAAAAGACCTTCGTCTAACTTCGTTTCTGAAGACTTTTTTATTTTCAGAGCGTAACATGCAATAATCGGTATTACAAGCATCGTTTCGTGCTTATCGTGTCTCTGGCTCGCAAATCGCGCGAAAGTCAATACTAGGGCGCAGTATTTAGTAAGTTACTTAGGAAATGTAACTTAGTCGTGTTACAATTTGCTCAAGTAACGGTTAATTCACAAGGTCCCACAAAGGAAATTAAGAGTGAAGCTTCGTCCAACTATAAGCGAATACCATTTAATTTGAATGGATGACGATGGAATACGAAGCAATAAGCACGACACTGTTTACTGCATGGCTCTCACGAACTTCCACGTAACATTTGGGAAAAGCAATATTGTGACATGAGGTCCTTTTTTTCCATTGGAAACCCTTACTTTCTGGTAAAAGTTGGTCCTTTCCTTAAGAAAGCATTCTATGGGAATAATAAAGGAACCAGCTCTATAATTAAAATAGAGAACCACTCAAAGTACTCTGAAAGTAAGTATTCAATTACTGCTTACCCAACACCAAAAGTAACTGAGTTTATTTTTGGAGTTACCATGGAAGTAACTTACTTCAGTAGCTTATTTGCTTGTAACTACATAAAACCCATAATTGCCAATGCGTCTGCCCGAGAAGTATCCCGAAAGTTCTGTTAAACTTTCTATTAATTTTCAGACTCTTCGGATCGTTCATGTACTACTCAATGACTAAAGTTTAACTTGAATTACAGGCTCATTTGGGTTCATGTTTCCTAGCTTGTGCATCTTTCTCATATCGTGAGCGGTGCCGATCAAACAGGAGTTTTTTTGTGTGTGCATGACTGGTTCTTCTTCGAATGGAGGATGAGAAAGAGTTTTATTGTCTCCCCTGAAGGAGAATCATGACGTAAGGGAAGATGATGATAATTATCCTGACTTCCAAGGCCCCTCTTGTGCCGTAGATTCAGGTATCCTCCTTTCCCTTCGTGACTCATGCCCTCAGACTCCTACTCCCTTCCTATATTGTCGTATACGAGAGATAGAGAGAGAAATGCAATGCATGCCCTCTAGGGGGAATCCATTATCACGTCTTGTCGGTCTCGGTTGTCTTCCCTCAGTTGACAAACGCCGCCACCCCGTTTCAGGCACTCTTATGAAAAGAATATACATTATACGTAACGTATGTATCAAGAACAGTCGACGTACTTGAAAGCTATTATCATTTTAGCCTCTTTTTTTTCTTCAAACAAATTAGAGCATGTCAATTTGGATTTCTGTAAAATGTACTTGACTGGCGAAGGAGATTTATCACTGTATGAATTAGATGAGACGTAATTATGTATTGTGAATAGAAGATTCCGATACGCAGATTGCATTTCATTTTGCGTGTTGATTGAGTGGGGAATACATTGACCCTTGGACTCCCGGTTCAAACAATTCACAACTCCTCCCATCCCTTCCTATCACTTTCACTTTGGACGAAAACCAATACTTGAAGCCGAAGCGGAGTTTTGTGCGTTGAATAGGAAGAAAGGAAACAGAAGTTGACAAGTCACTCTCTTTCCCTCTGTCGAAATACCTTGCTACCAGGACATGTGAGTACATGCATCCGCCTTAGCTCCACCCTCTAATGTCAGCTGCTTCACTTCATAGTTGAGATTCTTGGAGGGAAAGTCCTCCGAGTCTTTGAGAGAAGCTAGGGTGGGATCATCACGTTCACAGGAAGGGTGAATGCCTTCGGGTAATTAAGACATTGACAAAGGGAGATGCAGAGAGACAAAAAAAGAGGGTATTTGGAAGAAACTTCTCTTCCCTTTCAAGCCGGACTTTCACCTGCATGGGAGAGGTCAATGAATCTCCTCTTTTTCAATCTCTTCTTTTTCTTCTCTTCTTTTCACGCGTGAATTACCCCCCTCTGGTTGCCCTTATCATTCTTCATCAAGAGAGATGAATCTCATCTCATCCTTTGTTTTTTTTTCCTTACTTGCAAACTTCCCAACTTTACGACCTTTTCCGGAGTCACGATTCCCTAGTTAGGCGAATTCCATGATCTGCACAATAAAGTGTCTTCGATGTACCAGGTGCAGATTATACGCCATGATACAAATATAATCCCTTTCACTTCCTATAGCTGGGATTCGTCGACTCACCCTGCTTCTCCCTCCATTTGTCTTCTCCCAATCCCCGTTTCAGATTCATAATGACCTCATTAAGCAAGAGACATTGCACTCCCTTCAACCCCCCTCCCTCTGTCTCTGTCCTTTTCACCCTGTCCCATGCAGAAGTTGCATCATACCTCCTGAGGGGCTTGAGATTGTGTTTTTCTATATTTTTTCTTTGATTTGACCTCCACGCCCATCGCTTTCTCGCGCTCTATCAAGTAATTCTCTAACTTTACCGATTGCAGGCCAAGGGAATGACATTGAGATTTTGCGTCATTAAAAAGTCATGGAATAAATTACTTTTCGCTTCACGTGCCGCCACACGAGCCCGAAATATTTAGTACCCATTCAGTGAAGCAAGTGTTGGTATGCATCACAGTATTGCAGGACAGAGAGTTCTCTCTATGGGTCAGTTTCATTACGTATAAAAGGGATCTCTAACCAACGATCGTTCAGTGAAGCGGGAACTAAGACGTCATGGGAAGGAACTCCGGAAAGTGCAATTAGTTGAAGGAGTCGATGTCCTCATTATGATCAATCAAATAAATTAGGAGATTATGAACGCCTAGACCACATAGGTAATAGAAATTTGTGCAGCGTGGCACGAGGATGGATCCCGAACGGAACTACAGTATGATTATTTTCTTCTCGGTCTATTCCTAATCGTCCTTTGCCGTAATGATAGGAGTGAGGGAAGAAGACGACGAGTTGGTTTTTCCGCTTCCCTGCCTAACTGCCGTGCTGGCCCTCGTATTTTCATTAAAGCCTCCTTCATACCTTGCCTTTGGGGATGGCGATTCCATGAGTTCTGATATTTGCAGAGAAAGGGGGCCGATGTCCTAAGCCACAGGACCGGAATGAGCTGACATGCAACGAGGAGCAAGAAGACCAATGTTCGTCGGATGGGGATTGTTCGGGTGATGGCAAATGCTGCTTCACCGGCTGTGCTCGCATATGCATCCATCCCCTCTATACAGGTAATTCCATCGCCCATGTACTATCCAGACGAGTCTCCAGACCTAGCCTGATGGCCCTAACCCAGGAACGACGAGATGAGATAAGAGGCCGACTGGGAGGGGCGGAGTGCGACTGAGTCCCGTTAGTTCAGTCTCTCGGCTCTGGCCCTCCAGGCACTTAGAGAAGCCTCTCATCTTCCCTGACACATGACGAGATAGAAAGAGGAGAATCTCCGAATGGCGGTTTCGCAATCCGCACCGTGTCCATGGACTATCCCTGATACCAGTAAACCTATCGTCCTTCAACGTGTCGCCCAATAATGACATGAACCAAGGCAGAAAAAGGAAAGTAGCACGTAGAGGAGAATTTCAGCAGCCTGGCTGTCCCTGTTAATGTGAAAAAGAACGTTTTCTGCAGCTACGCATTTAAGGCTCTTTTTTTTCTGCCTTTCCGCTTCCGTGTGAACCAGCAGTTCGTGTCGTCGAGACGAATCTCATGCCCTCATTCTTGCGTGGTGATGAATGTATTTGGACCCATGACTGACATGCTGGTATTTCTGCCTTACCTCCCGTCGGGGCTTTCAGGGTCAAAGTCATCGAGAGACCGGAAAAACGGGAAAACTTCCGAGTGATAGGGCTAGATGTACGAATGGACAAGGGCTAGATGTACGAATGGACACTTGACCCCAAGGTACATGTAACGAAGGTGCTCAAGGTTAGTAGCCGGTGTCGGGTTCCATTCCATTGCTCTCCTTTCTATTCGGATTGAGCATAAAATGTGTGTCGGGGCTGGGGTTTCATATAAGACGGCCATGCCCTGGGCCTGGCAACTCTCCAGTCTCAGCGTGTCCTCGTCGCCAACTCAATTACCATCTTCCTTGGTATAGCTTTTCCCACTCACTTGTGTCGTGAGAAATAAACGTAGATTTCTCTTCGGAAATACTCTCAAATTATCGAAGAAAGAAGCTGTAAGGGAGGGGGTCATTGGTCATTGGTCTTTTTGTTCTCACGTGGAAATGGCAGAAGATGGGAGATGAACCGTGATTCCTTCTCTCGGCCCCTCTTTTCTAACTTCCTCTGTGGCAGGAATGAATTAAGGGGTAACAAAAGCAATGGTAAGCAAATCTCTCGTGTTTATGGTCGCTGGATTTCTGGTCTACAGGTCATGATGGTATGATTTGAATGCATGCAATCGAATGACCCGAATGTCGGTGCGAACCCCATGTCCTCGTTCTCATACAATCCATTCACTTTTTCTTCCACGTTCCTCTTATCCGATGGGAAAATTCCTCTCGGGCTTCAAAGTCCCCAAATTGCCAATTTCAGATTCCCAGTTCCTGTTGAGGTCAATCCTTGAAAAAAAACTAAATCGAGGCTTGCATAATTCCCAAGGCTTTCTTGCTTGCGTGTGACGGGGAAGCGGAACTCCGCAATTGCTAGGAACTGTATTCTTGCTTTTTTTTATCCCTTCTTTTTCTTCATATATCCATTTCGAAATTTCGTTTCGGTGCCACTTAAATAAGAAGATGAAATATGTCCAGGATCTCCGAGTGTATTTCTTGATAAAGTGAGGATGATAAACTGCAATTCAGAGGCAGTTTGAGAGCGGAAGCATTCTCTCACCCGTTCTGGCATTTTGTGGCATACCAAAATGGTTTCAGTGATGGCAACCCTTCTTCGGATATGAACAAGTGCCAGGTTTTTCCCAAACTTTCCCTCACCATACTATTGGGAGAGGGAGAGAGAGGGGGGGGGGGGGGGGGGGGGGGGGC